TTCGCACAGGTCCCCGCGCTGGTCGCCAATGCACCGGCTTTCACACTGAGTACCGCTGCTTCGCTCGGCTTAGCGACGCCTGGCGCGCCAAGTTTCCTGATGCTACTGAGTTCCCCAACTGGGCAGACCTGCTTAGGCGTGATGTTCCTATCTTTGATCTTGACTATGATGCTGCTACCATGTATGCATTGACTGTTAGTGCTGAGGGTGACTGCTACTTGTGTGTGCCGCCTGACCCCGGTATAGACCCAGGTATAGCGCCTGCAGCCCTAGGTGCTAGTGAGTCTGCTCTCCCTGGTACTGCGTCCGCTCAGGCCTTGCACACCTTTACACTTGACTCTGGTGCTTCCCGCTGTTTCTTTCGCGACAGCACCACAGTCACTCCCCTCCCTGCACCTGTCCTTGTCTCACTGGCTGACCCCTCTGGGGGCCCAGTGCTTCCACCACTGTGCTTACGTGTCCGGCAGTCCCATCTGGTGAGCTGTTTGGTCTCCACCTCCCTTCATTCTCTTCGAACTTGGTGAGCAAGGCCTTCCTTCAAGACCATTTGGTTGACACCTTTACTCCTGGAGGACAGCGTGTGGCGATCTGCACGTGCTCTCGGATCGGCCGTCACCTGGCCACGTTCACACGTGCGCCTGGGTCCAGTCTGTACACCCTCACCACTACGTCGCGCTGCACCCCTTTGTCTCCTCAGTTGTACGTGTCTGCTCAGGTAGCTACCCAGTGTGAGTGTCGTCGCCTGTCGCACCAGACTCTCCTTTGGCACCACCGCCTTGGTCACCCCTCCTTGCCTCGCCTGCGTAGCATGCACTCTCGCTCCCTAGTCTCTGGTCTTCCCAAGTCTCTGCCTGCCCTCCCTCCCTCGCCTGCGCCGCCCTGCATTCCTTGCGTCGAGGGGCGGCAGCGCGCCGCTCCTCACTCCTCCTCGTTCCCTCCCACAGAGGCTCCACTGCAGACTCTCCACCTGGACGTGTGGGGCCCAGCCCGCGTCCAGGGGCAGGGCCGCGAGCGGTACTTCCTGCTGGTTGTCGATGACTACACGCGTTACACCACGGTCTTCCCCTTGCAGTGCAAGGGGGATGTCCCTGCTGTTCTGATCCCTTGGATCCGCGCTGTTCGTCTCCAGCTCCGCGAGCGGTTCGAGTCGGACTTTCCTATCCTGCGTCTGCACTCTGACAGAGGTGGTGAGTTCACCTCTGACCTCTTGGCAGCCTTCTGTGCGGAGCACGGCATCCGCCAGTCGTTCACGCTTCCGGCCTCTCCACAGCAGAATGAGGTTGCTGAGCGCCGCATTGGCTTAGTCATGGAGGTCGCTCGTACCTCCATGATCCATGCGGCGACTCCCCATTTTCTGTGGTCGTTTGCGGTCCGGTACGCCGCGCATCAGCTCAACCTCTGGCCCCGTGTCTCCTTACCGGAGACCTCGCCCACACTGCTGTGGACGGGGGAGGTTGGCGATGCGTCGCGATTCCGGGTCTGGGGTGCTCGTGCCTTTGTCCGCGATACCACTGCGGACAAGCTCTCCGCTCGCGCCATTCCCTGCGTCTTCCTTGGTTTTCCTCCTGACGCGCCTGGCTGGCAGTTTTACGACCCCGCTTCGCGCCGTGTCTTTGCGTCTCAGGACGTCACCTTTGACGAGTCAGTCCCCTTTTACCGTCTCTTTCCCTACCGCACTGCCTCTCGCCCCCCCCCCCCCCCCGCTCTTTCTCGCTCTATTTCATCCCCAGGTTGACGCCCTCCCCACGCGAGGTCCTACTCCTTCAGGTGTTTCTCAGGTAGACCCTCCCATGTCTGTGCCTGTTGAGGTCTCTGGTGACTCTGGTCCTGCTGGGGGTGGTCCTGCTCGGGGTGCTGTCTCTGGGGGTGCTGAGCCTGGGGGTGCGGAGCCTGAGCGTGAGGAGCCTGGGGGTACTGAGCCTGGGGGTGCGGAGTCTGGGGGTGCTGAGCCTGTGCGTGAGGAGCCTGGAGGTGCTGAGCCTGGGAGTGCTACACCTGGAGGTGCTGAGCCTGAGCGTGAGGAGACTGGAGGTACTGCGCCTGGGGGTGTTGCGTCTGGGGGTGCTGAGCCTGCGCGTGAGGAGCCTGGGGGTGCTGAGTCTGGGGGTGCGGCGCCTGAGGGTACTGAGACTGCTGGTGCGCGGTCTCCTTGGAGTGGCCGCCTTCGTCCACGTGTGCCTCTCTCCCCGCAGTAGCTGCACGAGTGGTACGCTAGCCGTCAGGGTCGCGCTGCTGGGACTCGGGGCTCTGCCGCTAGAGGTGCTTCTGCTGACGTTGCTGGAGCTGGGCGTGGTGCAGGTACTTTGTCTACCGGAGGTGCTGGAGTCGCTGGTCATGGAGGTGCTCGTACTGGAGGTACTGGAGCTGCTGGGGCTGGAGGTGCTGAGCCTGCGGGTGCTGCTGCTGGAGATGTTAAAATAAGAAGCTGCCTAGGCTAGGAGAAACCCTAGCCTAGGAGCATAGGTGGGGTAGAACGGGAGTAGCGAGAGGAAATGCAAGGCAAGAAAAAAGAGGCCTTCACCAATGAGAATTGTGAGTACAAGTAGCTAACAGCAACACAAGGAGGTGCACCACCAAACATGGTGCAATATCTACACTACAACTGCAAACTATTATATAAAATATGTAAACTTATTTTGACACGCCCCCATAAATGTTTGCAGGACTAAGTCTAAAACGCCCCTTGATGGGGTACACCAGAAGTGCAGCGGAAGCATAAGCAGGCAAGAGCAGAAGTAGCCGGTGCTAAAATGGCAAATACAGCTGTAGCCAATCCTCAGCCAAGGCAGAAACAGAAGCAGGTGTAGGGGCGGCAGGTCGCCTGAGGAGCAGGCTCTGTGGCTGCAACGTGCAGCAGGACAGCAGCGGCTCGACGGCAGCACCTGCAGGCCCCAGCAGCAGGCAACAGAAGCAAAGGCAGCAAAGGAAGGTGGCGGCAGGGGCGGCAGCTGGAGGTGCCACGTCAGTAGCGGGCGACAGCAGCAGATGACCGGCTGACTTCCGTCGCCCCCGCTCACCCTTCCCCCCACAGCGGCATGTGCGGCAGTGAGAGAGAGAGGAGGGGCGGCAGCATGTTGCTCACACCCGTCACCCCAAACCCTTCCCCCCCCCCCCACTACTGGAGGCGCAGCAGGGAGAGAGAAGGGACGGCGTGTGGCGGCGTAGTGGTGTGGCGCAGCAGCAAACAGAGTGGCGACAGCCACCCTCGCGTCTCCCCTCCCCCCACCCCGCCACCTCCTCCCATAGCGGAAGCCGCGGCGTCGAGAAGCGAGGCGCCCGCGGCGACGGGAAGCGGGGCACCCGCGGCGACGGGAAGCGGGGCGCCCGCGGCGACGGGAAGCGGGGCGCCCGCGGCGACGGGAAGCGGGGCGCCCGCGGCGGCGCGCAGCGGGGCTCCCGCGGCGACGGGAAGCGGGGCACCCGCGGCGACGAGAGGCAGGGCAGAAGGTCGACGGGCAGCGAAGCGCCGCACTGGGCTCGCCTTCGCGGTCGTCGCGGGCGTCAGGCTGAGCGCCTTGACGAGCGCCTCGACGGGCGCGACGGGTGCTGCGACGTGAAACGCGACGGGGAGCGCCATGGCTAGCGGCGGTCCGCAGGAACGAACAGCTCTGATACCATGTTAAAATAAGAAGCTGCCTAGGCTAGGAGAAACCCTAGCCTAGGAGCATAGGTGGGGTAGAACGGGAGTAGCGAGAGGAAATGCAAGGCAAGAAAAAAGCAGCCTTCACTAATGAGAATTGTGAGTATAAATAGCAAACAGCAACACAAGGAGGTGCACCACCAAACATGGTGCAATATCTACACTACAACTGCAAACTATTATATAAAATATGCAAACATATTTTGACAGGAGACACTGAGGCTGAAGACCCTGGGACTGGAGGTGCCGGTTCTGGGGGTGCTGCTGCTGGAGACACTGAGGCTGGAGACCCTGGGACTGGAGGTACCGGTTCTGGGGGTGCTGCTGCTGGAGACATTGAGGCTGGAGACCCTGGGACTGGAGGTGCCGGTTCTGGGGGTGCTGCTGCTGGTGACGCTGGTACTGGAGGTGCTGGCGCTGGAGGTTCAGGAGCTGCTGGTGGTGCAGGCGCTCGAGGAGCTGGGGCTGGAGGTTCCTGAGCTGCTAGAGGTGCTGAAGCTGCTGGAGCTGCTGGAGCTGCTGGAGCTGCTGGAAGTGCTGAAGCTGCTGGAGCTGCTGGAGCTGCTGGTGCTGGTGCAGCTGCTGGTGCTAGTGGCACTGCGCAGCCACGACTGTTCTTCGCTCCGCCGTCTCCGTCGTCTCTGCCGTCGCCTGACTCTGCTCTTCGTCAGGTTCTTACCCTCCCGTCGTCTACTGGTCTTCCGTTACAGCTTGGCTCACCGCTGCCTGCTCCTTCTCCTTACACTGAGCTGCCATGAGGTCTTGCTAAGCATCGTGAGCCTGCGTCGCGTCCTGTCTCGCCTGTTGAGGACGACCCCCCCCCCCCCCCATTTTTTCTCAGTGGTTATCATAACACCCTAGGGTGTCTTATCCGGGAGAATACGGTACATATATTTGCACACATTATTGTAAGCCAGATTGGGTTGTGCTATATATGGTACAAATTTGCTCCACATCTGACATTGTCCATATTATGCCCATTCTACTCGCTTCACATTCTGACATTGTCTTGTCTAGTACCGTATCACGGCAATGACGATATTTTGGGAAAATCTTTATGCATATGAGAATCACAAAGCACCACAAACACAGCGAACACAAAAGCCCCCATGCAGGTTGTGTTCCTACGTCGTGCCAACCACCGCATACAGGCCTTGATATGGCCAATCAGAGCAACGTGGTGACTGATACGGGGTAGGAACGCACCCTCAAGCACAGCAATGGCTTGCCTGAGTAACAGTGTGCTACCCTAAGATGCCCCACATGTGGAAGAGCACGAGTCAGTGCCTACAGCTGGCACGCAGCGGGCAGCAGCAGCCCAAGGAGCGGAGTGGAGGTGGCTGGCATGGTAGCAGCGGAGTCATGCTGCCTGCACTGCTGCCAGCGATGAGTAGTCATATTGCTCTGATGTGGGCGATGGAATGGGGGTTTATGGGGGAGAGGATGGACGAGCGGACAATAGTGAGTGACACGCGAGGAGAGGCAAGGAGAAGAGAGGAGATGAAAGGAGATGAAAGGAGATGAAAGGTGGGCAATCACAGCCCTGGGCACTCACAGCCCTGGGCACTCACAGCCCTGAGCACTCACGGGTGGCCTTGCTGCAGGAGGAGGAGCCGAGGGTGCCCCAGTCGGACGAGGAGACGCAGCCCTTGAGGCACGCCACGGTGTAGGGCGCAGTGCTGCTGGCGTGGTAGTGGTAGAACGCCGGCTCGCCCCCACTGCCGTCGCCCACGTGCCCCCCGCACTCGTCCACCCCTGCCGGCAGCGCTCCCCCTGCTCCCCGCGGGCCGAACAGTGGAATGCCGTTCGCCAGGAAGCCCAGCAGCGGCGAGTGCTGCCCGGGGATGTCCTGCCAGAAGGATGCGCTGCCAGCGGAAGGGGCGGGAGGAAGGGCGGAGATTTGGGAAAAATGGACGGTTGGGACGCCAGGGATGCTACAAGGTACAGCATGAGGCAGCGCATGGTGCATGCATGGAACACACACTTGCAGCAAGGTTGGCTACGGAAGGAGCAGAGGTTGCAGGTGGAGAACGGGAGAATGGAGGAACAGGAGAAGGCAGGAGGAAAGGAAGGGGAACGCACTTGCAGAGGTTGAAGGCGGTGGAGCGAGAGGAGGAGATGGCAGAGGGGTTGGCGAGGCCGGGAGCGACGTGGTAGTGGTACTGGCCCGAGGGCGTGGGGTGCCCCCCACACACGTCAAACGTGGAGCCCTCATACTGCAGGGCGTCCCGACCCAGGGCGTCACACGCACTGCCAGCAGAAGGGGAGCAGGCGTAAGGAGGGCGAGGAGGGTGTGAGATGCGATGCCCAGTGACGTGGGGGGCAGGCGAGCTGCAGAGTACCATGGGGACGCGGGCATTGGAGGGCATAGCCGACAAAATTCTGAATGACTGAGCAAGTCCCGACTATCCCTACCCTGTCATACCCACCCCCCCTGTGACAGCAACCCGCCTGCTGCTGCCCCTGCCTCCCCCCTCGTGCCCCCCACCTGTAGAAGGGCACGCCATTGAGCGCGAAGCCGATGGGCCCCATCTTGCAGGTGCCGTTGAGGGCGACAGGGATGGCGGAGGACGCGATCACGGGGGCGAGCGGCACGGCCAACGAGAGCGCCTGCTGCAGCGGCGCGTACAGCGTGGCCTGCACCCGCCATGCGTACCCCGGACACCCGTTGCTCGTCATCACCCTGCCATAGGACAGGGGAGCAGACCAGGGGGAGCAGGGCAGAGAGAGCAGGGCAAGGGGGACAGTTCAGGGGGGACAGGGCAGGGAGGATAGGGTGAGGAAAAGGAGAGAAAGGGGGGCTAGAAGAACAGACGGAAAGGAAATGCATGAGGGGAACAGAAGAGCGGATGTGATGGGTTGAGCGTGCATGCAGAGTGGCAAAGAAAAGGGGGTAAGGGGGGAAGGGCGGTTGTGAGAGGAAGGCGCGTGGGATGGTTGGCATGGGGATGGTTGGCATGGGGATGGTTGGCATGGGGATGGTTGGCATGGGGATGGTTGGCATGGGGTGGAGGGCGTGCAAGCGGTGTTGCAGAGCGGGTGTGCGCACCTCTTGCCGTTGCTGTTCGTCAGCTTGGCGCTCCTGCTGCTGCTGCTGTTGCCACACGCACTCCCACCCGATGACCCACTGCCACCCCCCATGCCTCCCATGCCTCCTCCGCCGCCCATACCTCCCCCACCGCCCATGCTTCCTCCGCCCATGCTTCCTCCGCCCATGCTTCCTCCGCCCATGCCTCCTCCGCCTCCCATCCCTCCCGCGCCCATTCCTCCGCCAATGCTTCCCCCGCCCATGCTTCCCCCGCCCATGCTTCCCCCGCCCATGCTTCCCCCGCCCATGCTTCCTCCGCCCATGCTTCCTCCGCCCATGCCTCCTCCGCCTCCCATCCCTCCCGCGCCCATTCCTCCGCCAATGCTTCCCCCGCCCATGCTTCCCCCGCCCATGCTTCCCCCGCCCATGCTTCCTCCGCCCATGCTTCCTCCGCCCATGCCTCCTCCGCCGCCCATACCTCCCCCGCCCATTCCCCCTCCGCCCATGCCTGCTCCGCCCATGCCTCCCCCGCCCATTCCCCCACCGCCCATTCCCCCACCGACCATTCTTCCTCCCCCCATGCTTCCCTCGCCCATGCTTCCTCCGCCCATGCTTCCTCCCCCCATGCTTCCCCCGCCCATGCTTCCTCCGCCCAAGCTTCCTCCGCCCATGCCTTCTCCGCCACCCATACCTCCCCCGCTCATCCCCCCTCCGCCCGCATTACCCGTTTGTCCGGTCATCCCGCCACCTCTTTGCGAGCCAAACCCGCCCTGCCCGCCGCTCTTCGCGCCACTTCCGCCGCCGCTGCTGGTCCGGTGGGGGCGGAAGCTGCCGCCTGTCCCCGATCCCCCCACCAAGCCGCCGAACCTTCCCGCGAAACGCGGAAGGCCGAGGGAGCGCGCGCTGCACGCCGCGTGATCGACGCCCGCGAAGCAGAGCAGCGCGACGAGCGCGAGGGCGGGGAGGACGCTGGACGACGCGAGGCGACGCGTCATCATGGCGGGCGGCGCGTAACGCAAAAAAAATCGCACCTAACGAAAAAAAGGTTCCGTGGATGTCGCAAGTGAGATAAATCGAGACTTGTTCTACTCCCAGGGACGGCGCGACGCGAATGCAAGGAGAGAGGCGAAGTGGCGAGGCAGGAAACGAGCGGAGAGACTCTCGTGGACGCGAGTTGGGGCGACGGCGGTCCGAGTCTGAACTGAAGTAGCGATGCTGCTGGGATGGCCGAGGGAGATGGGAGTAGCTTTTCGGAAAGGACGCCTGAATTGCGGCAACGCTGAGGAATGCGTTTAGCGAGGTCGCTATTAGTACTTCCGCTGCCTTTGCCGCCGCTGCCATATGAGCCGAAGGCGCTCGGCGTGCCCGCATTAGGAAAAACTGACGAGCTGGTTGACTGTTGGGACGAAATTGGATCTGGGAGTCAACGCGATCGAGTCAAAGTGTTGACTGACACTTGGGTGAAAGTCGGCGAGAGGGTGAGGGAGTCAGCGTCCTCGTTAGTGTGCTTGTAGTGAATTCCTAATCTATTTCGTCCGTACGCATTAAAGAAAAACACATTAATATATTACTTTAGCCATGGTGGTCGTAACTGCACTTGACAACAGGCCTTCGAGCTCTGCTGCAACGTAAAAGTTTTAGGGTTGTAAAAAAACCCTTCGCGGACTGTTCTCAACGGCCGCAAAAGCTACCATCACTGCCATTTGTCTATGCAAAACCTAGACACGTGAACGCTTAGCACACAAACCCCCCCACCGCATGAGCGCTAACTGCAGCAGAACCACAAAACCCCATAACAGAGCATTAGGGTGTGGTCCACCCTCACCTCACAACGTGCAGTGCTACAGCTCTGTGTTCATCTTCGCCAACAGTCGAACCCAGGGCCCACGTTATCAGGGCAAAACATCCTGATTACCCTGAATTCAGGATGCACTTCTGTATTTACCCTGCAATTTCAGAATAGTCATAATTTTAACCCTGAGGTCACAGGATGTTTTTATGTGAAATGCCCTGGAGTTTCAGGATGGCCGTAGTGTTCTTCCCTGTAGCGTCAGGATGAATGTCGAGGCCTGCCCTGACGCGGATTTTGGTGGGGGGCGGGGGGGGGGGGGGGGGGGTAAGGGGGGGTGTTCCGTTTCGGGGGGAATTTTTTCCCCGAGGATTTTTGTCTCCGTTGAAATTTTCCCCCGTGTACGTTTCCCGCCTTCGCACGTTCTCTTCCCCTTGACATTTCCGATCCCCCGCTACACCAGCCAAGCCAACCCCACCCCATCACCCACCGCCAAGGCAACTCGTCCTCTGCCTGGCTAGCTCTAGCTGGGTTTCTCACGCTGACGTTCAGTAGCACTCCATCCAACACCCTTGCAGTGTTGCTGTTAGAGTAGCAGCAGCACTAGTAGTGAAGTTCGGCTGCGGCTGCTCTGCTATGCTAAACAGAGTCTGGTCTGGTCTGTTTGTGATAAAATCAGAACCCTGAACACTACAATTTTTGCCCTGACAGGTCAGGATTATTTTCTGCAAAAGCCCTGACCAATCAGGAAGGCTCTGAAGATTTGCCCTGAGAAATCAGGGCATTTTTTTGGATTCTAGAAAAGTGCCCTGAGGGCTCAGGGTGTCCCAAAACCTAGCACGGGCCCTGGTCGAACCCCGAAAGCGCAGCCTTTACTGCAAACTTAATGCAAAAGTAGATCCCTAACCCACCATGCAGTACTGCAGCTGCTTGTCCAGAGTTTTACAAATAGCCATGTGGTGGCCCAAACCCTAACGCTGACCGGAGAACCCCTAATTCCACATGCACATGAGCCACCTAACCCTCCCCGCCCCACCTAATACGTCAAGCTTCACCACGTAGCCCACCCCACCCGACCGTGCAGTGCTGCAGCTGCACGTTCAGCTGCGCCAGCAGCCTGTGGCGAGCAGTGTTGCACGCTTCCATGTGGTGACTGCAGGCGTAGGGAGGTGGGGGTGGGACAGGCAGAGGGAAATGGAGGGGACGGCAGGGGTATGGCGTGGGTTGTGGAGGAGAGAGAGAGAAGAGAAGATGCATGTATGGCAGTGGGGAGTGGAAAGGCATATGTGGTGAGGAACCTGTGCTTTGTGCTGTGGTGCATGGTGCCATGGGATGAGGTTGCCTGCAAGCAGACATGGGAAGGGGGGGAGAAGAGGCAATGATGCATGCATACGAATGACACTGGTTGACTCTGGCGAGTAGCAGCTTGTGCCGTGAGTCACGTTGCCACGCAGGCAGGGAGAGGCGGGGAGGGGATTGGAGGGTAAGTATGGAAGGATGCATGAGTGTGGACTCACCAACCTGCACCATGCTGCATGCTGGGTTGCAGGCAGGGGGAGTTGGGAAGAGGGGAAAACGGGAGAGGGAGGTGAAGCGGTGACAGTGCATGCATGACAAGTTCAAATCGAGCTATGTTGGAAAATACGCGACTCACGCACCAATCGCGTACGTACTATACGCTCACGTACGTACGAAAGACGGGCGATTTCAGCCCCACGATACGCTCGAAATATGGTCGTCCGGGCAGGGGAAAAAAGTTCTCGGGCAGGGTAAAAAAGTATGGGGGGGTGAGTCACGCTGCCTATGTTCATTTTGACCTTGTGCAGTTGGTTTTTCCCCACGTATGAAACTTTTTTTTCCCCATTACAAACATGCATTGCAAGTACATATATACTAGCAACTACTTGACGATACATCCCCTACCTCCCCGAATCCCCTACTCCCCTACTCCCCTACCTCCCCTACCTCCCCTACTCCCTAAACCTTCATCTGCTTCTCCTCCTCTACTCCTCTTGCTTCTAAGCTCCTCAACCACTTACACTGCTGCTGCTGCCTTTCTTACTCCACGTACTCATCGGCCAGCACGACTTCATCCCCCTCCCCCCCCCCCTCCTCCTCCTCCCCTTCCTCCTCCTTGTTGTATCCCTCCGACAGAGCGGGTTCAGGTATGTTGCCCGGAAGCACCGCCAGTGACTCACCCATCTTGTGGTACTTGTGGACCACTCTCGGAGCTTCTCCGAGCCTAGCCTGTTGCGGCGGGCAGTGTGCACCGATTCAAACGATGCCCACCCACGCTCACATGGCGACGCCGACACCGGCTGTGTCAGGGCACGGCACGCAAGGCTGGCCAGGTGGGGGTGGTCAGTCCCGTGCCATCCCCATCATGCCACCATCGACTGCTTGCATGCCTTCACGGCCTCCCTGTCGACAATTGCCTCAGGAAGGCCGAAGGAACCTTCAAGGGTGAGGAAGGCCGTGAGCCCCTCCTGCAAAACAAGAGAGGCACGCCTCTCCTCACCGTCCTTGTTGGTGAACGTCTTACCGTCGTAGTGACGTGCGATGAAGGCCTTGAAGATGCGGGTACATTCCATGTCGTTGTCATTCCATTCCATGTGCATTGTGAATGTGTGTGAGTGTGTGTGTGTGTATGTGTGTGTGTGTGTGTGTGTGTGTGTGTGGGTGTGTGTGTGTGTGTGTGTGTGTGTGTGTGCATGTATATTTGTGTGTGTATGTGTTTGTGTGTGCATTGTGAATGTGTGTGTGTGTGTGTGTGTGTGTGTGTGCATTGTGGATGCGTGTGTGTGTGCATTGTGAATGTGTGTGCGTGTGTGTGTGAGTGTGTGTGTGCATTGTGGATGTGTGTGTGTGTGTGGATGTGTGTGTGTGTGTGTATGTGTGTGTGTGTATGTGTGTGCATTGTGGATGTGTGTGTGTGCATTGTGGATGGGTGTATGTGTGCATTGTGTGTGTGTGTGTGTGTGTGTGTGTGTGTGTGTGTATGCTTGCATTCGCTCCGTTCCTCTGTCTCTGAGTAGATGGGCAGTGACTGGCCACGGCCAGCAGCGAGGGCACAGGCATCCGTGTGTTCAACATGGCTGATGGCACCAAGCTTTGAGAGCGGTGTGTGCTGTGTGGCCTGTGGCATGGCATGTGGCATGGGGCATGTGGTATGGGGCATGTGGTATGGGGCATGTGGTATGCGGAATGGTTGTGGCATGGCATGTGGCATGGCATATGTGTGTATTTGTGTGGTGCACGAGGAGGGTTGGGTAGTGTTCGTAGATTGTGTGCGTGCAGTCTGTCTCTTCCCACCATCCTCAGCCTAGGCCTTCTCTTCCCAACAGCCCACTTTCCTTGCCCGTCCCTAGCAACACCAGTCCACGGCAACCTTAGGCCACCGCCGGGCTCTGCACATGAGTGCAGGGGCAAACATGTCCAGCCTCTGCTATCCGCAGTCCACGGCACCTTGTGCTGCATCACCTTCTCCCTAGCTGCTCCTCTCCTTGCGGTCCTGCCCACATGCAGCTGCGGAGGGGAGTGGATCACGCAGGCATCTACAGCCTCGCCTTCTCCCCCAAGACGCACTTGCTGGTGGCCGCCAGTGACAGGGGCACCGTGCACGTATTCTCGCTGCTGCACTCCCAAGCTCAGGCGTAGGGGCAGGGGCAGGGGAGTGGTGGGGGAGTACTGTCGTCGTTTGGGTTGATGAAAGGTGGGTCATCTGAGGGCTGATTATGTTAAGGGTGGGGTGAGGGTGGGTATTTTATGGGAGTGGGTTTTTTATGTTGAGAGGTAAGGTACTTGAGGGGTACTACAAGGCGTGTGTTACTGTACAGGTATAGGCCATCGTTATAGGGGGTATACTAGGGTCATTGGCGTGCACACACATATGATCCCTGCTTTTATGCTCCTCCCCCCGTCTCTCTTGCCTCTCCGTGTCAAGATATGAAC